CTAGTAAAACCTAAATAAACGCCAGGAATCAACAGCTTTATTAAAAGCCCCTTCCATTCCACCCGAGATGCATAGGGTCGGCTTGTGTCCTCCGGATTCAGGGGTTGAGGGCTGTGGACGCTAACTCGGGAAGGGAGTTAGGTGGGGACCTCCGCAAACGAACTCGCAACCAGTGTCCCCATTTCAGCCTGTCGTCTCTCCAAAGGTTGGCTCAAGTCCTCTCCTGTAGATCTGTCGAGTGAGGGGAGGGATAGGAGCGTCAACCTGTGCCCGCGACCGGGCAGGTGTGGGGAGGGGTTTGCTGCTGACCACAGTTGTATCCTGCCCTCTACACCCCGGAACCGGGAGAGACTCACCTCACGCGCCTAGAGGCACAAGTGCGAAAGCTGGCAATCCCTGGGCGGCCCCGAACGAAGGCTGGACTTCAAGCGACCAATTGGCGTCCTGCCTTCCGGGCCGCTCTAGGAAGTCTCGCCTCGGTGACGACTGCTGGGCTATCCAGCTTCGCCCTAGCCCGGGAAGGACCAGGTTATACAGTAAATCGACTGATCGGAATGCGGAGCCTGCAAGCGCGTCTTTTTGACTCTTAAAGAATTTTTTTTTGGCTCAAGGTTTTTTTGTTTGTTTGTTTGTTTAATTTTTGAATAAGTAATACATTCTTATTGTTCGGAATTTAAAAATAAGTGTACCCTAGCATTTGGTTTTGGCAACTAATACTTTTCGTGAGACGTGTATCCTTCCGTAGATATATTACGCAGACATGTAATCCCCCTCGCTTTTTCCTCCTGCCCAAAGGGTAGCATACTGTGCACTTTGTTCTATACCTTGCTTTTTTTTTCCCTCCTGCTAATAGATCTTGTAGATTGTACATAAATCTTGCTCTTTTTTTTTTTTTAAACCTGTGGCATAGTATTCCATTGTGCAGATGTGCCAGAATTTATCAGTTACTACACCATTGATGGTCATTTAGCCTGTTTCCAATCTTTTGCTTTTTCAAATGCTGCAATAGATTACTGTGAACACACATCATATGTCATGTGTAAAGATACCAGGGGCGGATTGCCCAATAAGCAAGGTAAACATGAGTATACTTGTGCTTACTTGTTAGACGCGGTGAAACCCAGTGAAACTGTTCACTACAGATTAGTAAATAAGCACAAGTAAACCCGGGTTTACCTTGCTTGCTGGGTAATCTATTCCTGTCAGGGATTGTAAATTTGAAAAGAGGCTTTGATTTTGTATGAAGTATTGTAGGTTGGAAGAGAGACAGATGCCAGCCATACCTAGAAGCAGAATATTTGATGTGGTCAAAAAAGTGTGAAATTGTTCACTAAAGATGCTTTGGTAAGCAAGATAAGCAGTATGCTTACCTTGCCTATTGGATAATCAACCCCTAGATTTATCCATAGTACATATTCCTAGAAATGCAATTTGTCCTGGAGGATTTTAAGAATAAAGAAATGCTCAGGTTTGTCTTGCATAAACTCGTTTAGCTTGTTGCAAGGCAATCGTGGCAAGGCAAACCAGCAGGACCTCAAGACATTCATTTAGCACTGGAGAATCAGAATTGATAATTATAACGTTAGTTTAAATGTTAGAGGCCAAATGTTTAGACTTCAGGATTTACCTTTAATGAGTGATCTCTGGGAGGATACTTGACCACTCCTTGAACTTGGAGGAGGTCCTCCTTAGCTAGGGTCCCAGGTTGTTTGTGGTGAGCAGTATCTCAGCAGGCTCTCAGTCTTCAGAGAGAAGGAGAGTTGGAGAGACCTTTTGCCTCTGTCTTCTGCTCCCGGAATGAGCAGAAATCCAAGGGTTTGTGTACTATGTGTGCTGTCATGTTTAACCATAATTGGTATGTTTTATTGCCTGTTAAGGGAATTGGTGTATGACATATTTATGTCCCAAGGTAAATTTATAGAGATTTAATTAGTTAACAGTTATGAGATTGTTTTATGACATATTTATGTTTCAAGGTCAAGTTAATAATTCCTAGTTCCTTTTTTTAGGCCCCTGTTCAAGGTGTTTTACTAGTCTATAATGCCACTTTCCTTCCTGCCTTCTCAAATACCCATTCAGAATAAACATTAGATGATAACCAGGAAAAGGGTAGAGTGAGGGAGTTTTATGCCTACCAGTTGCATAATTTTAAACATCAGCAATTAAAGCAGTTGTGCAAGACTAGCAGACAGACAATATGAATAGAATAGAGTTCAGGAATATACACAAGCACACAAGGGTAGTTAGTATGTGGCTAAAGGTGAAATTTCAAATCAGTTAGGAAATGATTAGTATTGGGACTACAATGAATATGTTGGCTGGCAATTTGGAAGGGGCAGAGAGGGGAAGCCAAATCTCTTCACTTTTTATACTAATCTAAATCAAAGACTTAAATTCATTCATCAACAAATTTCTTTCATGCCTAGTATATGCCAGGTACTTCACTAAATGCTTAGGATACAGCAGTGAACAAATGAGACAAGGGTGCTTAAATATAAAAAAAAGAAATTATTAAAGTATTAGAAGAAAACATCAGAGAATGTTTTTTAATAACCTTGGAGTGGAGAGGGCTTAAGCATGACATAAAACTCTAAAGACATAAAACCCAAAAGTTATCAAAGATAAATGAAACCGGCTACATAAAAACCGTAAACTTTTGAAAGAAAAAAATTAAAACCAAATATAAAGTCAAAATATAAGCTCATAGTAAAATTTGCCACACATGTAAAAGACAGAGGGCTGATTTTCCTAATATTCAAAGATCTCTTACAAAAAATAAAAATATGAACAAGTCAACAGAAAAATTGGCAAAGGACTTGAGCAGGCGTTTACAGAATACAAATGTTAAAGGGCAGTAACAAATATGAAAAATTGCTCAAGTTCACTAATAAAGAATTTAGATTAAAACAGTAATGAAATTTGATTTTTTTTTCAGTTTGCTAAAGACAAAAAGATTAATAATTCCCAATATTGGAAACTGTGTGGAGAAATGGTGCTGTTAGTTGTATATTTTTAGAAGGAATTTAGCAAGACTTATTAAAATTGTATGTCCATATCCCTTAATCCATCAACTGTGTCTTAGAATTATCCATACAGAAATGCTTACACAAATGTTTGAACAGATGTACAAAGAAACATTGTTTATTTAAATTTAGAAACCCAAATGTCCATCATTTGGGAATTAAATTTCTGTATGTCCACTCAATAAAATACTACTCAGTTTTTAAGTACTAGAAGATGCCAAAAGGTATACTGAGTGAAAAAAAGTAAGTTACAAAACATTATATGATCCAGTTTTTGTAAAATAATAATTTTTTAAATATTTGCACAGTGATCATCTCCTGGGATAAACTTAGAAAACTTGTATTATGTATTTGTGCAAAGTTTTAATTTTTTATAAGAATTCACTACACATGTGAACAGGAAAAGGTAAACGTTAAACAAACAAACAAACAAAAACCCTATCCATTCTTCAAGGCCTACAGAATTTTTTTCCTGTTTGGACAATGTCATCAATATCCCTTTTCCCTCTCTGAAGTTCTTTGACCAACAAGTCATCCCGTAAAAGGGCATAAATCCTTTAAGATGAATTCAGCTCCAATCTCCCTGTGCTTCTCAAGGGCAAATAATAGTTGTCTGGTTAAATAAACCTGGGTGGAACAGTTAGGGAAGTGTAGAAACGAATAACTTCCAAGTGAGCTTCAGAAAACTCTCCAGGGAGAAAAATTAAAAAAGAGTGACGCCTGCTCTTCTTTGCAAGAAGTACGTGACTGAAAGCCAAAGCCCCTTCCTCTGACTATGGCACAACATATTCCTAATAGTCAGCTTCCCCTTTAGTGCACAGTGTATATCAGCATGTTTTTCCTTTTATCTAGTGTCTTGCTCTATCAACTTCTCTTCCCAAGTTTACACAAGCAGCCTGCTATCTGGATGACACTTCTATTTCAGGCCCTAAACTTCTTGAGTAGCTCAGAATATTCTTCAGGTGTGCCCCTGGCTTCAGTTGCTCATCATCTATTTTAGAGCATCAACCTGACAGAGCCTTAGACCTGTGATAACTTGAGTGGTTAAATACTCGACAAAATAAGTGTCACAGATCCTGTTAAAATCCTGGCTCTGCCCTTGGCTTAGATCTATCCTTCCTCTTACTAGGATAAAGTCTCCCTGATCTCTTTGCTAAGATATAAGCATATAGTCTGGCACATGACAAGGAAGGCCCTCCTCTCCTTTCTCTATTTCTATCTTCCAAAAATAGAAAAAAACAACACACACACACACACACACACACACACACACACACACAAAGCTAGTGGATTATTTTTAAAATAACAGTACTTGGTAGGTGTATAGGCTTACTTGCTTTTATTATTGAAAAAGAAAATATAAGTTAAGCATTTAACTCAGGAAAAATTGAGAAACACTCGAGGAAAAGAAATAAAGATAAAAAGCATAAGTAAATGAATTAGAAAATAGAAAAATAGTGTCAGTAACAAATAACCCAAAAATGGAATCTTTGTAAACCCATAAAAATTACAAACTTATGATAAATCTGATTGAGAGAAAAACAATTAAAATTATGTGACAATAAGCAGATGAGGAGGAAAGTATGCTACTAAATTTTTTAAAAATCTCAATTAAATTGGTGCTTTTTTGGGGGAAAAAAAAGGTCTAAAATCCACTCCAAAAACCTATTGTCATTGAGTCAATTCTGACTCATAGGACAGAGTAGAACTACCCCATAATGTTTCCAAGGAGCGGCCGGTGGATTCAAACTACTGATCTTCTGGTTAACAGTCGAGCTCTCAACCACTGTGCCACCAGGGCTCCAAAATCCATTCAAGAAGTAGAAAAATCTCAACAAATGAATCCTAAAGGAAATAATTGAAAAAGTTATCAAAGAATCATCTCCAGAAAGGCTCAGATAATTCTGTAGCATTTTTTTTTAAAGTATTTACTACATATATATGATGAATTCTTTCAAACTTGTTCATTTGGGATATACAAAGAAGTAGAATAAAAGGGGAGAATTACTCCGTTTTCATCACCTAAATACAGTAATTATTGACATTTGTCATTTCCTTCCAATTTTTAATATTTTCAATGTTTTACATAGTTTGATTATATTCTAAAACACTTCAATAGGCAGCTTAACATTTTAATGTAATTAACACTTTATTATAAATTTTTCATAAATATAATTTTTATCTACATATTGTTGGATAATAGTGCTTACCTTACAGAAAGGTTGAGGAAATTTTCATGCAATATATATGAGCTGCTTACTACAGTGTCTAGGACACAGTAAGTACGCAACAAATGGTAGCTACCATTGTTATAGTTTACAATATAATGGGCATTATAATCTTGCAACATAATGTTCCTCCTTTAGGAAATAGTCAAGTTTCTTCCCACAAAAGAGCATCCCAAGTGTCTCCCCGAGAAAATCCAAGAATATATTTTTGCTCCTTGGGAGAACCGTTCTGTTTGGTTAGTTTTCCTGAGAAGGTAGATCCTGAGTGACACCCAAGGAATAGTGGACTCAGTTTGGGTTAGGATCTTTCATATTAGGTACTTGGGCTACCTGGCACAGACATATAGGGTTGATTATGCCTTGAATTACTCTCAAGTCACTGAGAGGTCAGTGATAAAAAGAACATCAGGTGCTCTAGAACCCCTTCCCCCATGTTCTCAAGTTTCTTAAAGGTTGCTTCTTTTTACCTACTATGTAACTTTGCTTCTGTTTCCTCTTCGGTTTATTTTTTCTGGCTCTTCTAACCATTCCCCTTGTCTCAACATCATTTCCCCCTAACTTTTTGCTTTCCTTCCCTCATAGAGTTTATCCCCACCCTTCCCTTTTTCTTTGCTGCTTTTTCCACCTTTTCCCACTCCCATTCTCCCTCATCCTACTGCTTTCCCACAACTGCTCCTACTACTAAATGCTTCAAATCTCAATCATTCTTTTCCCTAATGGAGTCTCTGCTTTTGGCGTCAGATTTTCTCACTTTTACACTTAATGTTACTCCCTTCATATGTTTTTGTGTTTTTCTTCTCACCCAGAGGACTAGACTCTAAGGATTCTGCTGTAAGTATTACAGTTGACTTTCAGTAGATTACCTACAAATTCTGTCCAAGGAAAACGTTAAAGTGGCTTTCCTCTACCTTCATGTGCTCAAAGAATACAAATGTATTTATCTAAATATTAAAATCTGTTGTCAGCAGCAAAACTGTTTCTCCAAAGAAAATCTTAATTGGAAGGCCAATATATAAAACTAATGTGAAGCTGCTTTGGTGGTGAGGGCCTTGAAGCCCTCAAGTTCCTCTAAGAAACACCTAAAGCTGGGGCGGGATTCACACAGTGAATGAATAAAGGGGGGATAATATAAACCCATAGGAAGCTGTGTGGCAATGGGGACCATGTCAAACTGGAGAGTAGTGATCGTCAGCTCCAGTCAACTGTTGCCGTGTGAGAATGTGGTGCTCAGTTTGTAAGAAAATCTGGAAAATCAGATGTTATGTGAAATCTGATTCTTAAATAGCTGCAATAAATATAAAAAATAATGTGTGGTCAAAAAGAAAAAAGCTTCTGTGGGTCAGATATAGCCCATTTGACCTGTTTACCATCTCTGGTTTACGTGAAAGGGTACTGGAAATTTGCATGATAAATCATCTTGCTCCACCCCCACTGAACCATCCCAACCTCACAAATCATAGTTCACTTCAATATTACAAAATGGCTTTTGTATTTCACAGCATTTTTAGTATAGATAATTGACAGGCTTATGTATTTTATCAAATTAACACAAAATTCACATTTGTTTCCCATGTCGGTCAGGTGTTAATTCTATTCACACTCTGGACAAGATTATTAATTACTCCAACTCCGAAGAAAATAAATAGGAGGAAAAGGTGAGGAAGAGAACAGCAGTAATCTCTAAAATACCCAGTTATATATCTAATAACTTTTAGATGCCTGAGCACCTGCTTCAGAGAAGATAAGTTTGAGAGTATGAAATGAGCCCCTCCAAAGCCCCAGTTCAGCAAATGATATGCCTAGTGGCACAGAATCAGAAAGTCTTGTTTGGCAAGCTTTCAGGTGCTTGCCTATCTCAGCCTACATATGTATTTTGAAAGGGCTGCTAAAATTGCAATAGTAATCACAGATTTCCCTACATCGTTGTATTGGTAGCATTCTTTTCTAGTTGTGCTTTTCTGTTCCACAGAAATGAGCACAGATGAAAAATTCTGCACCACTCTTGACATCACTGGGGCTCTTCTCCAGAGTGGATTCGCTGATGTACAATGAGGTGTGAGCTCCGCCGGAAAGCTTTTCCACACACAGCGCATTCATAGGGCTTCTCTCCAGTGTGGATTCTTCGGTGTCCCAGAAGATGTGAGCTGTAACTGAATGCTTTCCCACACACATCACACTCATAGGGCCTCTCTCCACTGTGGATTCGCTGGTGTCCGACAAGAGCTGAACTATGACTGAAGGCCTTTCCACATTCATCACATTCATAGGGTTTCTCCCCACTGTGAATTCTCTGGTGATGGAAGAGGCCTGAGCGCTGGCTGAAGCTTTTCTCACACTCACTACACTGGTATGGCTTCTCTCCAGTATGAACTCTCTGATGTTGTATCAGATGTGAGCTCAGGCAGAAGGCTTTCCCACAGTCATTACACTGGTATGGTTTCTCTCCTGTGTGGGTCCTCTGATGTCGAATAAGGCCTGAGCTGTAATGAAAAGCTTTCCCACACTCATTGCATTGGAAAGGTTTCTCACCAGTATGGGTCCTTTGATGCTGAACGAGGTGTGAACTGTAATAAAAGGCTTTGCCACACTCATCACACTGATACGGTTTTAATCGGCTGTGCATTCTCTGATGGTCAATAAGTTGTGAGCTCTGTATGAAAGCTTTGCCACATTTATTACAGGAAAAGGGTCTCTCTCCACTATGGATTCTCTTATGTCTAATGAGGCTTGACTTTTGAGTGAATCTTTTCCCACATTCATCACACTTACATCGTCTCTCAGTTGAAGTGTTTCTCTGATGTCTTTCTAACCATATTTCATGTTCCTGGGTCTCTCCACATTCAGTACTCTCTCCATTGATTTGGCCAGGTAATTTTTCTTGGGATTGCACATCTGCAGTAAGTTCCTGCTTTTGAGTCAACTCCCCTTTATCAGTTCTGATCACACCATCTGAAACAAAATCATAGTATTCAAATGTCACTGGGACACAGAGGAAATAAACACAGATACCAGAAGTACACAGCTTAAAAAACAACAAAATGGTTTTGCAACAATTGAGGACACTAGGAGACAGCAAAGGAAGAGAGACTTAGTGGATTGAGGATACCTAAAAGAGATACACAATGACATACCATCCATGCCAAATAAACATGGAATTATGAAACAAAATAAGTGGAAATGAAACAAGGATAGGTAGTATAAGAAAGAACTAGGGAATAAGCTTCAAAAAGTCCATGAAAATAATGGAATTAAATTCCCTATGATATTGCTGCCTTCTAGCAAAATAAAGTTTTGCCACTGTGCTCTCAGTATGTAGCTAATCTTAAAGGAGGTTTTCATAAGTGATTCAATAGATGTAGACCAATATTTGACCTTGCTGCTACTGGACCTCTTTATGCAGATTTAACAAGATGGTTCATTCAAAAAACCATCTTCCTTAGTGGAACTTAGCACTGAGACCATTGCCACCATTTATTTTCCGAGAACCAGATGATCAGATAGCTATGCTATACCCAACACTACACCTACAGTGATTGTGCTGAAGTATACAATTATGTACTCGTTTTGTCCTAAAAATAATTATTTTGACTTCACGTGCCATTTATAGATTATACTTGCCATACCTATTAACTTACCAAATTTTAAAACTGCCCAAGGATTCAGAACTCTGAATAGCTAGCTCTATCTTTAATTACTGATAGAATAAAATCTATGTAAAAAATCTTGAGCATACAAGGCCCTTCATGATCCACTGGGATTCTTGACCCTGGCTACACATTAGAATTACCTGGAGAGATACAAAACCAAACCAAAAACCATGCCTGGGCCCTACCCTAGTCCAGCTGAAACCAAATTTCCGAGGGTGGGAACCAGGCACTGGTATATTTTTAAAGTCACCCAAACATAAAATGAGGGTTAAAAACCCTGATGCAAGAATGTCCCTGCCTACCTTTCCAGTTTCATTTCCCATAACTCTCCACCCTCCTCATAGTTTATACTCCATCGATGCTAAGGCGTTAAGAACAGACTTTGGAGACAGACTGTTTAAATCCCACATCTGCCATTTACTAGCAGGGTAGTCAGATGCCATTTTAGGTCAAAAGCCAAGAGCCTTACCTATCTAAAAGCCTCCAAGGGCAGCAAATGATCTACAGGCCAGAGTGAACACTAATGTTCATAATGCTCAACTTAAGCCTTCAAGAAGGCTTATGTTCCATTTACTCCAAGAGTATGTTATAAATCTCCGGAAGATGCCCATTAATTGGTGATGGCAAATAAAGTTTAGACCAACAAACAGCAAGCTTCAATTACTTTAGGGAAACTCTAACATGTGAAATACCTTATTTCCTGACAATGCTGTTACTAAATAATTTAGAAAGCATGGATTCCCAAACGATACTAGGCTGACCAAACATACCCCTATTAGGTATGAAGTATCCTGCAGTCATTAAAAGTCTTTCATATATAAATAAGGCCATGATGTAGAAAAGTATAATACATATTCTTTAGATGATACAATTTTTAACAATGACATCACCCCCAGCCATCAGACGTAAAAAGGTTATCAACTCTGATGCTCTGAATCTGTGTTCAAGCCATGAGAGAAGTCAGAAAGAGCAACTCTGTCCCTTTCTTGTACCCTCTAGAGCTTTAGGAAAGTAATCTAACTCTTGCATCTCTCTCTTCCTCTCCTTCCCCATCTGAAACTGCCCTACTTTTGGCCTCATAATGTTGAGTTGGAGCCAAAGCAATAATCTCCAAAGTGATTCTTCTTTTTCTCCTCTCTCTCCAAGCCAACTTATAGGGCACTTATTAGTTCCTGCTCAAAAAAAAATAGAAAGGAAAAGAGAAAAGAAAAGAAAACCTTCTTAGGCCCTCTACAATTTTGTTCCAGACCACTTTGTTAGCATTATGCCTCTACTAGACACTGAGCTTCAGCCAAACTGATCCACCCGTGTCCTCCTATCATGATTTATACTTTCCCACATTATTCCTCATGCTTGGACTTCATTATTCACCTTTACTAAGCATCTGTCTCCTACATATCAGTTGCTGGGGATACGCATATGAAAGTCCTTACCCTGAAGGAGCTTCAGACAAGTGAAGTGGTAATATAGTATGTTAAATACTATGAGAGGTATGCACAAAGAGCATCACATAACTCAGAGGGTATAGCCCATTTGGCTCGAGAGGGTATTAAGAAAGGCTTCTTGGAGGAGGTGGCAGCTGGGTTGAGTTTTAAAGGAAGGCTATGAGTTGGTTTGGCTGAAGAGTGGGGAAGGTGTGAACAGGGGTGTTTTCTGAGTTCAGCGGGGTGGTGGTGGTGGTGGGGTTAGGAGGATGTTGAGCATATTACCAAAAAACTGATTTATTTGATGATTTACCATCCTTGTCCTGATGGGGTTGGAAAGGAAAGAAGCATTGGGAGGAAATAAATGGGTTGAATGACTACAAGTCTTAATGTGGCTGAAGAACAGAGGGAACAGAGAGAGCCAGAAGGAGGGGTGGGTGTGAGAACATCCTTCCTGATGCTCTCTGCCCAGTGAAATGCTTCCCATTCTTTATGACCAGCTCAAATCCCAGCCATTCCACTACTGCTAGGGCCTGAAGAGATGGATTTCTCATTCCTCAGAACTGTGATCTCGGATTTAGCAAATAATCATTCACTGCCTCAAATCAACAGCTATCTTTTTTATGAGTACTTAACTCCTTTACGGCAGGAACCCTCAAACCCAGAGGGAGACTTTACACACAGTGGAAGCTAAATCTATTACTGACGTCTTAACAGAACCTACAAAGCCATCACGCCCTGGCCCCTGATCACTTTGTCTATGCCTCTCTCCTTCTCCCCATGTTCCAGTTATGCTGGCCCCCTTTTAGATCCTCAAACCCACCAAGCTGTTTCCCACTCCAGTGTTTCTGCATATGCTCTTTCAGCCTGGAATGCTTTTCCCTCCACTATTCACTTGGCTAATTCCCACCCTACTTTTAGGATTCAGCTCCCATGTTACTTCTTTAGAGAGGCCTTCCCTGAATAACCTCTCTCCCCATAAACAATCTGTTAATGGTATGTTTGTGTTTGTTTAATGTCTTTGTCTGTTACCAGCCTGTTGTAAACCCCATGAAATCAAGGCTCATGTCTGTTTTGTTCACTGTATACCCAGTGCCTAGCACACAGTGCCTGGGATGGTAAGTACTCAATATATATTTGCTGAATGATGAATGATTCAAAGGTCTCTAGGTGAGCCAAAGACCCAAGTGTCAACACTAACCACAATCCTGATGGTGTTCATCCTGAGACTCACTCTTGGTCTGGGTCTCCAGAGGTTGAAGCAGGAGATATCTTGCTTGCTTAGCTGGCACCGATGGCACCGATGTCTCAGAAAGCACTTCCTGTGCACAGGCCTCAGCCAAAACCTGAGGATAAGCAGGCTCATTTGGGCATCTGAAGGGCCAATAGTATACATGATCCCCAGAGAGCCCACAAAAGATGAATCTGTACACCCACTCCCAGCCGTCCCACCATAGAACACAGCGCTCTTTCCTACCTGCTGTCCTGGTTCATCCAGCTCCCTCTCAAGATCCTCCAGCATAGCTACTGCCTCCTCCCCGCTCTCTGGATGATGATCCCGCATCCAGGCCTGGAGCTCCTCAGGTAGAATGGTCAGGAACTGCTCCAACACTAGCAAGTCCAACATCTGTTCCTTGGTATGCATCTCAGGCCTTAGCCACTCACAACAGAGTATCCAGAGCTGGCTCAAGGCCTCACGGGGCCCAGGAGTCTCTTTGTAGCAGAACTGTCGGAAGCGCTGGCGGAATAACTCCTGGTTGTTTGGGCTGCTCCCTTGTGGGCTGGATCCCTGGCCCCTGCCAGGCCCTTCTTTGTTGTTTACTTTGAAGAGCCCCTTAAGCTCTTTGGGAGCCAGTGGAAGGAGCACGGTAGCCATTCCACCTCCAATGGACTGAGAGAAGGATTGCTGCTGCAAGTGTTATCTTTTAGGGCACACTCCTAAGGTTAAAGAGAAACGTACACACAGGTGATGTAGTACCTGCGGTCATTCACTGAGTCTAATATCTCTCTGTTTTGGAAGAAAAAGGAGGCTTGACACAAAGTTAAAGAGATTTAAAAAAAATAAAGTTTAAAGCAATTCAAACCCTTTGTGCCAAGCAGAGTCCTGGTGGTACAGTGGTTAAAAGCTGGGCTTTTAACTGAAAGGTTGGTGGTTCGAATCCACCAAGGGAGAAGATGTGGCGATCTGCTCCTGTAAAGATTACAGCCTTGGAAACCCTATGGGGCAGTTCCACTCTGTCTGATAGGGTCACTGTGAGTCGCAATTGACCTGACAGCAGCGGGTTTGGTTTTGGTTTTTGGTGCCAAGCAGAAGGAATGTTTGTCAAGAAATAGCATTCTTGACAATATTGAGAATACTGTTGGATGCTTTCCTTCCTGAAAAAACCCACCAAAACAGCCTGTTAAATAAGACAAAGTAGAGTTTACTCTTACAGGTGATAGAGTACTACCTGACAAAGTCTTAGTAGTGTCTCTGAAGAAGTAGGGCAAAGTTAGGATATTTATGAGGTTTTGGGGATTTAAGACGGATCTTTCAAAGCAGGGTTAGGATTGCACAAGGATCACACTACAATAGCTTAAGACTGATGGACATGGCAATGTGAGGGTTTTGAGGTGAAGGTTTCAAAATGTCTGAATGCTGACCATTGAAGAGTTGTTAACAGTTTGATGTTCACTTAAATGGCCTTGGGGGAAGTTTTTGAAACAAAGTTATTTACAATTTCCTGGAATAGTAAAGTTATGTTCATAAAGACAGTGGGATAGTAATGTCATATTAGTGATGACAGCTAAATAGTCATCTTAATGTAGGTAATAAGCGGTGTTGATGTACATGGTTTCAGTTTTCTGTGTAATAGCTGACTTTAGTGCCTGTAAGTAAATGTAGACTAGCAACATGGTGGGCAATGGTTAAAGGCATGGGCTGTGGATTCTGGACCTGAACTTGAATCATGTCACCTTCTCTTGTATGTGTGGTGGCATAATCTCTCTAACCTTCTATTCCCCCCTCTGTAAAAACATATATATATGTTTTTTAAACTTTTTATTTTGAAATAACCTGAAATTTACAGAAAATTTCCAAAAAAAGTATAGAATGGTCCTATATCTTCACCCAGCTTCCCCTAAGGTTAACATCTTATATAACCACAGCACAATTACAAACATCAGTATGATTAAATCACAAACCAAAAACCAAACCCATTGCCGTGGAATCTATTCCGACTCAGAGCGACTCCATGTGTTAGAGTAGAACTGCTCCATGGGGTTTTCCTGGCTGTAATCTTTACCAAAACAGATTGCCCGGCCTTTCTTCCCCGGTGCAGCTGGGTAGGTTTGAACGCCAACCTTTAGGTTAGTAGTCAGTGCAAACCACTTGCACCAACCAAGGACCTCAACTAAATCACAGGCCTTATTATACAGGGTCGCTTTAAGAATGACTACCGAAAGGATTAGACTCAGTGCCTGACAGTAAGTAAAGGGTTGTGACCTGGTCATCTAGGCGCTGCCAGGGGCGACCATGCCTTGCGCTCAGGGGCCATCGGTTTCCAGGCACAGAACCTAGGACAACGCAGGGAGGCCCTCTAGTGCCTTCTCTGTGCCTAGCATCTGTTACCCACTTGGCATCTTTTAGAAACACCTTCACTTCCCGGGCCCTAATGGCTGACTTAGGGACTTCTAGGGTGAGCCTGGAGAAGGGTGTTTTAGCAGTCATTCAATATAAATGACATGGGGTCGCTTTTACGGGTCGCCTTCCACTAGTTTACATCTTCGAAATAATAAGACAAACTAGTGTGTTAACCAGCTAGATTACCAACACCATTCCCATTTACCCTGTTAACATACACGGAACTAGCCAATCAATGGTGAGCAGCCACAATGAGCCCTAGACTCAGGAAAGTTCGGTTGTCTGTATCCCTTAAGGACCTGACAGATTCCACAAAAGGCTTCCGGGACAGGGCGGCCGCGTTGGAGAAATGTGTGACCCGGTAGTCAGGGTCTCCAAAATGCCTGGAGGCGCCAGCCGGGAGTTGGGCCTTGGACGGCTAGGGGGACCCAGCGGAGACCGGGCCAAAACGCCCCTAGTCTGACCCCTCCGTGGTCTCCGCCGGCGCTTTCGGCTTAGAGTTGAGCAAGGAGGGGACTCCCCTCACCCACGCCCAGCCGACCTCGGAGACCTGGGCCGCATCGCCCCGTTCTCCTCTCGCCAGTCTTACCCGGGCCGGGGGAAGCGACCGCAGGGACCTAACTAGCCCCTACGCGCCCCGTCCCAGCTCTCGGCGGAAGTGCGTCCGCTAACTCTGCCCCGCCCGGCGCCCTCGCTTCCGGCGGCTTCAGAGACACCTGCTCAGTTTAGCAACCTCGTGAGCGCTGCGCCTGCGGCTGGGTCTGCAAATTGACTGTGTAGGCGTGTCATCCTGGCCTTTACTTTCAGGACTACCTGCATTAGTCCTTTTCCATTATCGCCAGCTGCCAGAGAACGCTGTCAGGAGAGCTACCCAGAATTGTAGTCTATCCACCCACCCCAGGAAGGTGCCTAAAACCACAGCAGAGAACTGACAGTGAAATCTTAGTTATGCCGCTGTGTCTCTCTCCTCCAAATTCTGAGCTGTAGTTCAATTTGAACACATTTCCCCCACTGTTTTCCTCTAGTTTGGCTTGAATCTGACTCCTGGCTTAATTCTACTTCTAATCCCCTCTTGTTTTACTTGAATTCTCTGGATTCTGGCCTCTTGCCTTGGATGTTCTTCTGATTATGTTTACTTCCTGGCAAAACATCTAGATATAGATTTTTGGCCTACATATTCAAATGCCACCATTGCATTTGTGTTTGACACAACTCTTGAACTTAACATGACCCTTGTCCTAGAGTAAAAACTCAGAGACTCTGTTAAACTGAAAGCAAGGAGATTTATTGAAAGTTCAAACAGTTCTAAGTGGGAAATGTTTCTGCCTTAAAAAAAATGAAACCAGTGCTTTGAAGAGCTCACTCAGTTACAGCGATTTATAAAGGCAAAAACTGCAAGAAAAGAGGTACAGCTAAAATGCTTTTGGTTGGATGACATCTACAGGGTTAGCTAGAACAAGGTTGTGGAAAAGTACAAGGTATTGCAAGGGGGTTGGAAAAATATTTTTCGAGGAGCGTCAAGGAGTATCTTCTGAGAATTGGCTTAATCACTAAAGTCACAGGTTTAACACCTGTGCAAGCCATAATGATCATTATTGCAACCTTGACCCAGTTAGCAACCTTCAACTTAACTTAGCAAACTTTCTGAGAATTGCAAAGCAGAGGTAATTTCTGAGAAATAGTAAAGCTCTCAAAATGGAGTCAGGCCTACACTTCATCCAGAAGCCTCAGCCAAGCCAAATGCCTTGAATTTTAGAATGCTCTTTGTCATTCCTTCCTTTTGATCAAGAATTCCCATTGAAATTCGCTGATCACTATTACAAGAGTGATTTCTTCTGCATGGACTTACTTTCCTTGGGTTCATCAGATGGCTACCTATTTGAATAGGCTTTTAAGACCTCACACGTTATTCTTCAAAGGGTAGCCGGGCACCATCAGTTTCGTATTTGCCATGTCATAGCTTGGGCCTCTGCTTGTGTGATCTTTAGAGAGAGGGAGTGACTAAAGCAAGGCCAAATTTGAAGAAACAACTTGACAAGGTAAGAGGGCCTCTCACTAAAGTGTGAGATCTAACTCTTCTGAACATGATGTTCTTTCAAAGTACATGACACATTACATTGATTACAGAGATTTGACATACATTTTATAAAACATTTAATTATACAAATAATTAGTGCAGTGGAAATTAGCATAATTAAACTCACATGTAATATGGAATGAAACTAAGATTTTATATCATTAAGTGACTAAAAATGTCAAAGAAATCAAAGAATGAGGAGTTAGGTTCAGGATTGATGGGCAACTAGGTAGCCTTTTTTGATGGATTTTTTTCAATATTTTGTTCAACCTTGTTGGTAAAGTTATTTTAAAGGCTAGAAGTATTAAGCAGAGTCTAACAATTTCAACTACTTGTATGGAAAAAAACATTAAAATAAGAAACAAGTGTGCAATAAAGCAATTATCATAACAATACCAGTAGTCAAGAAACAAAGTCTAAAAATTTCAGCAGATTGCATGAAGTCTTGTTCTGTGTTTGAAGGTCAGTTTAAATCCTCTAGTAGGTTGAGCAGTCCAGGGATGTTTAATATTTTTCAGTTGAGATAGGTGAATCCAAGCTTAACTCCTTATAATTTAGCAGCACATGGGTTAGTAAGAAGGACTAACTATGGACCTTTCTAACAAGATTTTGGGATTTTAACTTCTGGACATCAAAGGCTTCTTTAACCTGTGAAAAACATTCTTTTAAAGTGGGATTAAGTATGGCAGATGCAGCATTTTATAATAATAGAAACAGTGAGAAAGATTTTAAAAATTGAAAATAATATCAGTTAAGGAAGCAACAGGATTGTTAAAATTCAGTTTTAATAATCAGTTTACATAACTGATTCTTATATAAAAAGAATGAAAGTAAAATAAAAATGGTTTCCTATATTAAGAAAATAGAACATTGAACCTTAGCAATATTCTCATAAAAACCTTACAATAATTCTTTTAGTTTATTCAGTCCTATGCAGTTAATTTTGGTTCCATGTAATTCTGGATCAGCAGTAGTCTGAAGACTTCATTAATTTTCCCATAAGAGTTCTAAAAATCTTGATTTAGTCCAATATTATCCATGTTTGAATCATCATCATTCTTTTCATAAGTCCTATATAGTCCATTTTTATTGAAATATTTTAATCAAGTGTTTTCTGTGAGTCAGAAAAATAGAATTTGTCTGCAAATGACAAACTTAAAGATGGCCATGGTTATCTTATAATAGTTTTTAAAAGTGAAAGACCTGATGGGAATTAAAAAAGTAAGGTAAAGCCAAACAAAGTCAATAAAAACTTTAGATGAAAATATCTCTAAATATAATGATTAACCTTAGTTTCAAAGAGCTTCAGATATGACACATAACAATTTTGTGATGTAATACTAAATCATCAGGATCTACCAGGACTCTTATCAAGTCTCTAAACATCTAAACAGTAATAAAAATTCTACAGGTTAATGATGTGAATTTTAATTAAAATTATTGGCTTTGATGATGCTAGACTCAGAGGAAACAAAGTTGCAATTAAGTTAGCAATTGAAAAAATGAAATTATGACATAATATTATAAATATCATTGACATACAAATTTTAACTTAAAGGAAATTTGGCATTTCACTTGATTTGACGTGTTTCAAGTAACTTACAAAGTATTAAGTGAATGTTTTTAGCATTTTTCTTTTTCTAAAACAGAAATAAATCTTTTTTTCTTTTTTTTATTGTGCTTTAAGTGAAAGTTTACAGTTCAATTAGTTTCTCATACAAAAATTTATACACACATTGTTATGTGACCCTAGTTGCTCCCCCTAATATGTGACAGCACACTCCTCCTTTCCACCCTGGATTTCCCATGTCCATTCAACCAGCTCCTGTCCCTTTTTGCCTTCTCATCTTGCCTCTGGATAGGAGCTGCCCATTCAGTCTCATGTATCTACTTGAGCTAAGAAGCACACTCTTCACGAGTATCATTTTTTGTGTTATAGTCCAATCTAATCTATGTCTGAAGAGTTGGTTGCAGTTCTGGGCTAACAAAGAATCCAGGGGCCATGTCTTCTGGGTTCCCTCCAGTCTCAGTCAGACCACTAAGTCTGGTCTTTTTACTAGAATTTGAGTTCTGCATCCCACTTTTCTCCTGCTCCGTCAGGGACTCTCAGTTGTGTTCCCTGTCAGAGTGGTGGATTGGTGGTAGCTGGGCACCATCTAGTTCTTCTGGTCTCAGGCTGATGGAGTCTCTGGTTTATGTGGCCCTTTCTGTCTCTTGGGCTAATATTTTCCTTGTGTCTTTGGTGTTCTTCATTCTCCTTTGCTCCGGGTGGGTTGGGACCAATTGATGCATCTTAGATGGCTGCTTGCTAGCTTTTAAGACCCTAGATGCCACTCACCAAAGTGGGATGCAGAACATTTTCTTAACAAACTTTGTTATGCCAATTGACTTAGATGTCCCCTGAAACCATGGTCCCCAGATCCCTGCCCCTGCAACTCTGTCCCTCAAAGTGTTTGGTTGTATTCAGGAAACTTCTTAGCTTTTGGTTTAGCCCAGTTGTGCTGACTTCCCCTGTATTGTGTGTTGTCCTTCCCTTCACCTAAGATAATTCTTATCTACTATCTAATTAAGTGAATACCCCTCTCCCTCCCTCCTCGCCCTCAAAACCATCAAAGACTATTTTCTTCTGTGTTTAAACCTTTTCCTGAGTTCTTATAATAGTGGTCTTATACAGTATTTGTCCTTTTATGACCGACTAATTTCACTCAGCATAATGCTTCCAGATTCATCCACGTTATGAGATGTTTTGAGGATTCATCATTGTTCTTTATCGTTGCATACTAATTCCATTGTGTGAATATGCCATAATTTGTTTATCCACTTGTCTGTTGATGGGCACCTAGGTTGTTTCCATCTTTTTGCTATTGTGAATAGTGCCTCAATGAACATGGGTGTGCATATATGTATTCGTGTGATGCCTAGTTGGTCACATCTGCCCCTGTGGTTACAGTTCCACCCTGTAAAACTATTTACAATGCCAAGATCAATAAGAAAATACATCAATCCATGTCACCATTTGAGACAGCATCTTCCGACTGCATACCTTTCACGCCTCTGGTCAAAGCGGTCCACTCCTCCTGTAATTGCGTTGTATTCTGCAACTGCTCTTGGGCAACGGATTTCATAGGAGGAACCATCTTTGTTCTTTCTTTTGACACTAGTGATATCCTTTGGATTGTGAAACGTTGACAAAACTGTCACAGGTTTATTGTCCTGTTGCTTTACTGCCTACATCCTTTCATATGAAACCTAAATTCTCCACGCTCTAATTTATCTTTCCTCTTCAATATGTCTGGTAGTGTAAAATGGCATGGAGGCAGTGTCTGACCTCCTTACAGACAATACACATGATTATGGGGTTTATTGGGGGAAGTAACAGTTACAGTTCAGGTTCAGGAACACTCAGGACAGAGTTCTTCTATCAGGATAGCCTCTTTCCAGTCATGCTCGCAGGCATGCCTCTCCCTGGCCCTTGGCCTCTGCCCAAAGGCACTCAGCTTTCTTGCTCTGTGGGCCAGGAAGCCCACCAAACTGTCTTCTGCTGCCATGTCTCTGCTGCCAGGCCTCAGCTGCTGCTTCTCGCTGTCTTCAGTGTTACAGCTCTCTCTCTCTCTCTCTCTCTGTCTCCTGGTTCCAGAAGCTTCTCAGCTTCTCCTGGCTGTTCTTCCTTGATGGTGGTGGGATCCTCTCTCTGCTCTGGAATTGGCTCTATTTTAAGGCAAAACTGACCAATTCCCTTGGTGGGCCACAATTACCCTATTTGCACAGTCCCACCCAATCACTTGGGTGGCAGTTAAAGACCATGGCTAGAAAGGCCACAAAAAAGCAATCCATTGAACCACAGGTAGCCCCTTTTCATTTGCTTGCATGGTGCCGACAGCATGCAGTCCCCTTTTGTTCATGCTTTACATTAAATGATAGGATGCAAAATAACTGTTGAAGGCAATGAGCCTTTGAGAATGGTACCATGAATGACATAGTCCAAGTACAACATTCTCACAGAGGGAGAGATGAATCATTGTCTAGGCCTTTTTTTCCACAACAGATGTCAAACTGACTCACAAAGCCAGTTCATGAGTCAGCCAAGCACCAGACTTTTTACCTGCACTTGATGGGCTCTATAGGCATGTATTGTTTTATTGATATATGGACCTTGAATGGCACCATGCTTTCATCAACTGCCATGACATCTGACGGCACATATACCTCCTTTAGGCAGCTATTGAGAGCATTGATAACTGGGCACAATTTGTGAAGCTGGTCATAGCCAGGTTTTCCTTTGGGCATGGCTTTTGAATTGTCATTGCAGTGTATGTTCTCAGTTAGTTTCTTGAATCTGGAACTGAAGCAACACTCAATAGGGGGTCACTGGACCAATATTGCCTGAGCTCTGGCAAGATGTGTATACCCATCAGTATGTGCACAGCAGTGAATGCCTTTATTTCCTCTACAGTTGTAGGCTGCCAGTTTTCGGTTGACCTTCTAATCTCCTGCCCTCTATACCATCTGGTGTGCTCCTGGGTCGCATAAAGATTTGTTTGGTCCTTTATAATGTCCAAAATCTCTTCTGTAAATACAGACAAAAAATAATCTACTTCTGTTCTGTATGGGTCAAGTCGGGTAAACTTTGGCATGTTGCTGAAGCAAGGTTATTAGATTGTCAAAATAAGAGACATCCTCACACAATTTCCCTTCATTTCCTTCCCTTTCATCATGCACATCATCATCTGCTTCAAACCTTTCCTCTGCAACATTAGCTTCCTCATTCTCTACGACCATGTCAGTGTTGTTGTTCCTTCAAAATGTGCTGCAGATCCCACAAGACAGCTTAAGTTCTTCCAAAGCATCCACATCACACTCCTCCTCTAAGTCCTCCTCATTGTCGGGTAGAGAAAAGAGAGAATCTAGAATTTCTTCAACCTTCTTAAAACAGGCCATTTTTAAAACCAAGAGACGTTCCAGAAAAAAATAATTGTTGGTTCTGCAAAACTAAGATAATACCTATATCATACATCCAAACAAACATGAGAATACACATGGGGAGCAAATTGCCTAAGGGGAGCAAATTGCCTAATTCAAGCCTCCTGTCCAAATAAATAAAACCAAAAGAATTTGTGTCTCTGGAAAATTACCACTGCAATGAATTCTTTCTTATTGCAAAAATAGTACTTACAGCTCAGAAACAAGAAAAGCAGTCCTGAAGATTGCAAAATACCTACTCATAGTAGATCAAGGACGCCACAACACGTGGGTACAATGAATAGAACCTGAGAAAGAAAGGTGCCTGAGAATAACTTATTCTCATGAGAAGTACATTCTCACAAACATACAGGAACCAAGAAATATACTGACAAGCTTATCTCCCAGTAAAAAAGCCAAAAGAGACAAAGGTTTGCAAAATCACGCTTCCAGGATGCAACACTTAATACAATATACTTTCAATATAGTAATGTGGTACCAACGCCCATTTCTTCAGTTTCACACAGTGGGCAGCACCCACCAAATGTAGGAAAGCAGCTTTCCAAGAAACCTGCGAGGAGGAAAAAGTCAGTGGGCAATGTATGTCCCATACATTCATACAGGTCATGAGAGGGTTGTAACGTTTCATTTCTTTCCATGTGTTTCTCCCTCTTTTGCTTCTTTTCTTTCTTTGACATTTCTCAGCTCCTTTTTCTTTCTTTTAATTTGGTCACAATACAAAATAGCCTATGCTTGTTAGTGATTTTATTCCTTGTTGTAATATTTTAAAAGATAGAGAACAGAATTATTTCCCTTCCTCCCCCAATTGGTCAATGACCTGTAGGAAAAAAATTCTCTATTTTTTATTGAGTAATAAGGAAAGGACCACCTACTGCGGCCAAGACTGGTCTGAAAAGGGAGAGTCACTGTCTTGCTTCTTCAGTGACACACACTGTCTTAGTTTCCCAGTACTGCTGTAACAGAAATACCACAAGTAGGTGGCTTTAAAGAACAGAAATTTATTTTTTCACAGTTTAGGAGGCTAGAAGTCCGAATTCAGGGTATAGCTCTAGGGGGAGATCCTCCTTTATTTCAGCTTCTAGTAGCGGGCAATCCTTAGGAGTTCCTGGGCTTGTAGATTCATCTGCTTCTGTTCTCATCAGATAGAGTCTGTCTTTCCCCTGTGTCTGCATGCTTCTCTGTGTCTATGCTGCTCTTAACATAACTCAGAAGTAATTAGGTTTACGAGCCACCTTACACTTATATGGTCTCAACTGACTGATTACATTGGATTGCATTATGGAAAGTGATTACATTACACTAGATTAGATTACATTCAGAGGTATAAGGGTTAAGATTCCAACACATATTTGGGGGGGGGACACAATTCAACCCATAACATTCCACCCTTTGGCCCCTCAAAATTCATGTCCTTTCCACGTGCAAAACACATTCACCCTCTCACACACACTGTATGATATCTTGCCCCTTACCATAGGAGATGCGGTTCTGAAAACCCATAAAGGTCCTTGGTCTCTACTAGCTGGAACTGGACACCAAGTACCGGTCTTAGAGACGCCGCCTTTCTCCTGAATATTTCTTGTCCATGTCCATGGGCTGGCACCTGAGAAAAATAAAGTACACTTGGGCTCATGAGGAAATTTCTGTTGGAAATAGACAAACAACTTAGAGAAAAGAACAAAGGGAATGTCTTGTAGGAATACAAAACTGGGGAAGGATGAATTAAGTCTGATTCAATTGTAAAATGTATGTGGTATCAGACAGAGAGGAAAGGAGACATAAGTGTACACAGAACTCGTCTCATTGGATATGCAATCTCAGGCCCTCTACTCCCATTGTGGTATTCCACTTCTTCTGGAGTATTAGATCTCCAATGCCTATGCACCTGGAGTACTGCTTCATCAGTGCCTCTTTCCAAATCATCTAGTATTGTCACTGCCTCCTCTCCACTCTCTGGGTAATGTTCATGCACCCAGGCCTGGAGATCCTTAGGCAGGATGGTCAGGAACTGCTCCAGCACCAGCAGCTCCAGGATCTGCCATTGACAGCAGAGCTCCTGGAGCCCGCTCAGCACCTGATGGGGCCCTGGGGAATCCTGGTAGTGGAACTACCTAAAAAGCTGCTGGCAAAGCTCCTGCCTGAGGGGATCACTTCTCTGTAAAGTGAGTGTCCTGCCTCCAGGTAAAATCTTCCCCGTCTACCTTCATTATCAGAAGTCCATCATCCACCTCTAGTGTCTGAAGGTTCTGAGCTACAGCTTTCTTAGATTCTGTTTCCATCTCAGGATAGAACACATTACGGGAAAACCCAGTTCTACTTTGGAAAGTGTCTTCTTTAGTTTCAGAAGCTCTCCTGGAATCAAAAAATTACTATTACTGTCTAGGAAGATACAGACCAACATCAGAGGAATAATCAATCGTTCTCCACTTACTATGGCATTCGCTGGGCACTGAGATACCTTCTTCGTGGTATACAACTGTTAAATGACTTCTATCTCAAAGTAGCTTAAAATTTAAATTTAAAAATAATTTAAATTTAAAAAACTTAGTTAATATTAAATATCCACAAGTCATATATGGTTAAATTATAAATAAGTCACACAGAAAATAAGGAACAAAAGAGAAAAATGATAGAAGTGTTCATAAAGTTGAAGATCTGAAAGATTACAGTGGGTTGCAGTGGTCAGAGAAAACAATTTAAAAACTAAGTTGTGAAGAATGGATAGGATTTGACTAGGGTGTGGGAGGAAGATATAGGAAATTACAGCAAAATGTGTGAAAGCAAGAACCTGTGTAAGGTGGAAACTGTTAGAGAAGGAAAACTAACTGAGTGTGAGATAGGATTGTGAATAGAGTGATACAATAGTGGTAAGACCGCACTCTGTCAGAGATGGAAAACTTGTGAGACCCGGAAAAACACACCAGTCCTGTTCCAACTCTCACAGGTTTCACTGTACAAGCAGGGAAACAGCTTCAACAAATGGTTAATGGTGGAGCACAGAAGTGGGAAAGTAAAAAGTTCAGTAGGTTTGTATATGGTAATCATAGAGGTAAAAAGTGGGGTCTTGCTGTTGAAAGCCTCAAATGTCAAGTTCATGAATTTAGAGTTTACTTTTTAGGTACTGGGGAGCCAATGAAAGCTTTTGAGAATGACCTGGTGAACACTGTGGAGATTAATATGATGTTCATTTCTAGAATGGACTACAGGATGAAAAGATGAAAATATAAAAATGCCACTTTAATCATACAAGTGTGAGGAAAATACAGGCTTGGATTGTTATCATTATCTATTCAGAATTTGGAACTAGGGTTACTTATAAATATCTTAAATAACAGAATAGGTCAACTTTTCTTTAGAGCCTAAGGTTAATAATTTCAGCAAGTGTAACTGGCTCCTTCCCCGAGTCTCAGATAGGTTTCCTCTTGCCCCAACAATTTCTTCTCTGCCTTCTAGTTTCAGAGCTCAGTCCATGTCTTGGTCATTGGAGCCCCACATCTCACCATTAAAAAATAATAAACTAGCACCATGATTTGCTTAACAGCCTTCTGTGAGTCTAATTATTGAACACCAGTTACCTGAATCTTATTAGCCTATGAAAATGGTTGGCCTGGTTTCTGAACTGAAAAACTGAGTAACAGGATTTAGAGGTGAAGTCCTACAGTACAACAGCAAAATGCAAATATCAATCTCTCAGGTCCTTGAGGTGAAGTCCTATAGTAGAACTGCAAATGCAAATATCAATCTCTCCAGTCCTTCTACTAAGCACTTCACCAAGTTTACTTCTGCCTGATGCACTGTCATGCACTTTGTTGAAAATCTTACACATGCAAAGCACCAGGCTAGACATTGTCCAGCAGTGGTTTCCAAGAAAGTTTGAGTTCAGAGCTGGACACACTGCCTGTCATGTGGAAACTTTGTCAGAAACAGATTCCTGGGTCCTGCCCCCGGAGATGCTGGTTCAGTCAGTATGGGGTATACCTGGAAATTCTGTATTCTGATGCACAACTCTAAACCAAAAAACCCCACTGCTGTCGAGTCAATTCTGACTTATAGCGACCCTATAGGACAGAGTAGAAGTGCCTCATGGGGTTTCCAAGGCTGTAAATCTTTATGGAAATGGAATGTCACATCTTTCTCCCATGGAGCAGCTGGTGGGTTCAAACCACTGACCGTTCGGTTAGCAGCAGTGTGCTTTGACCACTGCACCACCAGGGCTCCTGGATGCACAACTCTAGGGGATTAAAAAAAAAATGTTAAGACACTTCCACTGAGGAGTTTGCAATCTAGTTGGAAAGAAATGACATAAAACACGCATGGATATAAAACATTTCACATGCCACACACACTGTAAGTGCTTGATAAATGTTGAAAGTTGAAGTACTAAACAAGTTTTATGGTGGAGATAATGAATATCCTAATGGTTCTGAGGTGGGAAGAGACAGTGTGTATGTATGCAAATGATAGGAAATATTTTCTAAAGGGCTTAAAATGCACAATAAAGGATAAGAACAATTCAGATAGGCAGAAAGGAGGAGATACGAAGAGAGTTGAGGAAGTGGGAATGAGAAGCAGATTGAAGATGAGACCATTTTGCTGGGTGTAACAACGGGAATGACTAAGAATTCTAACTCTGAATGGAACTCATCAACTCTTCTCTGAGTTCCTACAGTTCCTAACACATACATCTGTGAACATAACACATATCACCTTGGATTATTTTTAGATGTTTTTCTTCATCAATGGACTGGAACTCCATGAGGTTGAGGACCATAAATTATTAATAATTATTCTCGAGGCCTCACATGTGTTGAATGACTGAATGAAAGGGGAAGTTAAAATAGTTTGAAATGACTTCTGTTTTGGATGTTCTGCGTTTAAGATGATAATAAGACACCCACTTGAAAATGTTAATAAGCAAAAGACACTATGAGATTTTAATAATCGAAAGGAGCCAGGAATAGGAATACAGATTTAGATAAGATCCATAGAAAGGGCAATTGAAGATAAATATCAGGATTAATTCTCCAAGAGTATAAACTGAAGATCACAGGCTCAAAGACTAAACCTTGGAAACCAGAGTTTGAGTGGGGATAAGTAGGAACAAAATCTAGTAATGACAGAAAAAACAACTCCCCCCTAAAAAACAGGGGAGGAGGGTGAAGAGGTTTAGCGCTGTGGTATGTCAGAGAGTCTCAATCACTCATATTTTACTGTGCCAGTTCTTTTGATATGTTGTTTTTGTTGGGTGTTGTTGAGCTGATTCTGACTCATAGTGACCCCATGTGACAGAGTAGAATTTCCCCATAGGGTTTTCTTGGCTGTTATCTTTATGGAAGCAGATTGCCAGGTGTATCTCCTATGGAGCTTCTGGGTGGGTTCCAGCCACTTGGCGGTTAGCACTTAATAGTTGCTGCACCAGGGTCTAATGTCATTTATGTTTCCTAGATGTGTTAATTGAGTGCTCATTAGGTAATATCCTAATGCTTTATGAACATTATCTCATTTAACACAGGAAGATGGGCAGTAAAGCTTACTAGTTGCAGTTGATGCCAACTCATGGAGACCCCCACGTGTGTCAGAGTAGAACTCTGCTCTACAGTTTTACATGGCTGATTTTTCAGAAGTAGATTGCCAGGCCTTTCTTCCAAGGGGCTCTAGGTGGACTTCAACCTCCAACCTTTCACAGCTGAGCGGATTAACCATTTGCACCACCCAGGGATTGGTCCTACAACATATGGTATCTCCTCAGATAGATGACAGTCCTATCTCTAGGTACTTCATCACTTCTCATCCATTTAAAGCCAAGACCACAACTCCTGATTGAATTATCTAGTCCTCAAGGATTTGATATCTCCCCCTAAAGCCAGTTTTAAAATGACTTACTAACTTCAATATAGTAAACATGTACTGAGCATCTACTGCCCACCAGTCATTGTGTTGAAGGAGAGTTACAAAAATGGCTAAGCAGATGTGTAAACACAGGCATTTACTAAACACTATGAGAAAAGAGAGAAAGGAGTAATTAATTATGTTGGGAAAGGTGAAGGTCCGGTGTGTCTGTTTCAGAAGAGTTTGGTTTGTGAAGCGAGGGGAGTTGCCAGAAATCCAGTAGAGGTCATAGAACAGAGCCTTCAAAGTACATGTTGGGAAAGAAATGCTGGAGGTAGAGGTCTCTCTTTTTTATCTCATTGTGCTTTAGGTGAAAATTTACAGAGCAAATTAGTTTCTCATTCAAAATTTTATACACAAATTGTTTCACGCCATTGGTTCCAATCCCCACAATGTGTTAGCACTCTCCCCTTTTCCACCCTGTGTTCCCCATTTCTATTCGTTCAGTTTTCCTGTCCCTTCCTGACTTCTCATCTTTGCTTTTGGGCAGCTGTTGCCTATTTGGTCTTGTATACTTGATTGATCTAAGAAGCACGTTCCTCACGTTTGTTTGTTTTATAGGCTGTCTAATCTTTGGCTGAAAGGTGAACTTTGGGAGTGGCTTCAGTTGTAAGAAGAATGTCTAGGGCCATAGTCTTGGAGATTCCTCCAGTCTCTGCCAGACCAGTTAAGTCTGGTCTTTTTTGTGAATTTGAATTTTGTTCTCCATTTTTATCCCGCTCTGTCTAGGACCCTCTACTGTCAGAGCAGTTGGTGATGGTAGCTGGGCACCATCTAGTTCTGGGCTCAGGGTGGTGTAGGCTGTGGTTCATGTGATTCATTAGTCCTTTGGACTAATATTTTCTTCTTGTCTTTGGTTTCCTTCATTCTTCTTTCCTCCTTATGGGATGGGCCCAATAGATGTATCTTAGATGGCCGCTCCGAAGCTTTTGAGACCCTAGACGCTACTCACCAAAGCAGGATGTAAAACGTTTTCTTTATGAACTATGTTATACCAATTGACCTAGATGTCTTCAGAGATTATGGTTCCCAGCGCTCAGCCCCAGTAACTCGGTCCCTCAAGGTGTTTGGATGTGTCTACAAAGCTTCTATGATTGTGCCCTCTTTGTGGTCTATTATATATGAATACACATGCTGGACATACAAATATGTGTATAAAAATATCCACAGCCTAACCTATATCTATGTGGGTATATTCCTGTATGTCCTCCTTCTGGTGCCACAGTAGTTAATGGCTACGGCTGCTAACCAAAAGGTTGGCAGTTTGAATCCACCAGCTGCTCCTTGGAAACCCTATGGGGCACTTCTACTCTGTCCTATAGGATCACTATGAGTTGGAATCAACTTGAGGGCAACACGTTTGGTTTTTTTGGCTTGGTAACCTACATAAGTACTTGGGTATCCTCCTAAATGTTCTCCTTCCCCTATTCAGCATACATATCTGCTTTTAAGTTATTTTTTACTGCTGTTGTAGGATTATATATGCTATAGTATTTACTGTGGTCACTTCCTTTTTCTTCCTTGTGTTCCTCTGTCTTCCTTTGCCTTGGTCAACTTGTGCTGACTTCCCCATATTGTGTATTATCTTTCCCTTCACTAAAGTTAACACTTGTCTGCTATCTAGTTAGCAATTTCCCCTTCCCACCCTTTCCCTCCCTAGTAACCATCAAAGATTGTTTCTTTTTGTGTGTAAACCTTTTCTTGAGTTTTTATAACAGTAGTCTCATAAAATATTTGTTTTTTTGTGATTGACGTATTTCACTCAGCACTCCAGATCCATCCATGTTGTGAGATGTTTCGGGGATTCATCACTGATTGTTACTGTTGTGTAGTATTCCCCTGTGTGTATGCACCATAATTTGTTTATCCATTCTTCTGTTGATGGGCACTTAAGTTTGTTTCCATCTTTTTGCTACTGTGAATAATGCTGCAATGAACATGGATGTGCATATGTCTATTCATGTAACAGCTCTTA